TCAGATTCCCCAGCCCCTTGTTTATGGCAACTTGAAAACAGGCATAGGAATGTTTTACCAGTTGACACATAAGACAGCAACTGAAACCATACATTAAACTGGGTCTGCAACCCCAGTAGTAGATGTAACTAGTTTGCATTGGTACAGCTGTTAAGTGAAAACTTGGTTTGGGCCAGGGAGGAAGGGAGCAAATTTGTTCAGGAAAGAACTATTATTTCTGAATCTCCTGAATAGGAAATGACATTGTGCAGGAAACCATTTAGCCCACATAAACAGGGAGATCCAAGGAGATAGTCCTTGACTTAGGACTGTAATTGAGCCTGGCAATTACAGTTGTAAGTCATGATGGTTGTAGAGTGGGCCATCACATGGCTGACTTGATTTTACATTCCTTTTTTGCAGTGGTCATTAAGTGAACCCTATCATTGTTATTGTTAACACTTATTGTTCTCTATAGGCCAGTAGCTGGAAGTAAACGCTGGTGTCCAACAAAAATGTTATAAATCAGGGGTCTCCAACCTTGGCAACTTTAAGACTTGTGCTGGCTGAGGAATTCTGGAAGTTGAAGTCCACAAGTCTTAAAGTTGCCAAGATTGGAGACCCCTGTCATGAATCAGTTTTACACAAACGGGCGTAAACCCAGCGTCCAAATGCAGTCACATGACTATGGGGAGAGGCTGTCCATCATAACTTCAGAATGGGTCATAATTAGCTTGTGGGGGGGGTCTGGCATAACTTCAAACAGCCGCTAAATGACCAATCATAAATAGAGGACTACCTGTATTTATTTTCATTTGTAGGCAGGTCTCTGTTGGATGGAATTTCACATGGCACCTGAAAGTTAGCCCCCTTTGCTTTGAATGCTTGGCTGGATGCAAGCTTTCTTCCTGTGGCTGCTTTTTGCAGGAGCAGAGAGAAGATTAAGAAGCAGAGTGAAGTTTTGATTGGTACCTTAAGTAGCATGAGGCCAGCGTGCCTGAGTCCTGCTTTGTCTCTCCCGTTCATTTCCCCCTTTGTCACGCTGCAAAGACGCTAAGCCACCTCTACCTGAAGCCCTGCCCGATCTTCTTGGCTCTTCACCTGCTTGCTCTCTTTTAGGTCATGAGTTCTACCAATGGGGAGTTGAACACGGATGACCCCACTGCCGGCCACTCAAACGCCCCCATCACCGCACCTGCCGAGGTTGAGGTGGTAGACGACACAAAGTGAGTAACTGGTTCACCTGGCTGAGTTCTGCTAGGAGCCTCTGTGGCTCGGATTAAACACTGTTAAAATGGAAGATGGTGGAGAGGAAAGTGTGTCAGCTCTGCCTTGGAATTATGACAGCCAGCTAGAAGCCATCCTGGCTCTGTTACGACCGATGTGGCAGGTTCATGAGCAGAAAACATGGTGAAGTTTTGAAGCTTATACAATCCAACCAGCCTCACCTCCTGTCTGCCAGTAGAGAGCAGCTTTTCCATCACTTACTACCTGAAATATTTTGATCTAAAATCACTCAGGAAGCCACATTCTCAGTTATCTGTCAAAAGGTCACTTTCTCAATGGTCATAGGCTGTCTTAATAAGCGTCAATTGATAACTTGGTTGCAAGCTAAGTTAATTGCCCCACTCAATTAGCTCACAAGATGTTGGCTTGGACCTCAGTCTGATTTGGGGCTAATTTCCCCTGGCCAACTAATCATTTTGTTCTGTGAGTTACTGACTGGAGGGTTATCAGGACTTCCTATGTCCGATAGAGCCGAAGCCCATGAAAAATAGATTTTCTCTGTCTGTCTCTATACCTTGGATTTTCTGTCTCCGCATACCTAGAATGTCAGACTGTCAGGGAGACAGTGTAGCCTAGTGATTAAGGCACCAGGCTAGAAACCAAGAGTCTGAGTTCTAGTGTCACCTTAGGCATGAAAGCTGGCTGGTGAGTTGGGGTCAGTCACCACAAGATTGTGAATTCTTGTCCTACGTTAGGTATGAAAGCCAGCTGGGTGACTTCGGGCCACTCCGTCTGCTTCAGTACAACCCACCTCACTGGGTTGTTCTGTGTGGTAAATAGGAGGAAGGAATGTTAGGTATTATGTTCACCACCTTATCAAGTATAAAAGCCTTATAAACTCCCAATAAAGTATCATTTTCAACTTAACACTTTACAAACTGAAAATGCCATCTCCTTTCATTTAAATAATAATACAAAGGAATATAACATGGATACCCTTTCTCCCTAGGTGCTGCTGTTTCTTTAAGAGGAGGAAGAGGAAAACAATCCAGCGCCACAAGTGAAATATCCCTGTTGGTCGAAGCCAGGATCCTCTCGGGACTGCGTTTCCCCCACTCTCCTCTGACTTCCTGGCTGAGGATAATGGATCTTGATGGAATAGAAGGGGGCTCTGTTTCCCCCACCGGCTCTCCCACTCCAGTTTTATTGGTGGGTAGGGACATAGGCGACTTTGACTGTCCTAGCTGGCACCTGGGGGTAGGGGCTTCCCCGGTCCGTTTTTTCCCCCTTTTCCCTTATTCCCAGGAGATGCAAGTGGAGGGTTAGGGCAGGCACTGGCAGAAAAAGCACGTTGGACTTCTTGCTCAACTATCCTCCTCTTCCTCCTGGTCCACAGAGAGAGAGAAAAAACAGCATTAATATTTATGCAGCAATTCTCCTTCCCTTCCATTTGTCAGTTTATTTGTCCTCCACCCCTCTTTGGAGCTCCTCAAATAGCTTTTGGAACAAAACAAAAACAGAAAATGGGAATCAATTCTACTTGTTTACCTTTAGAAGAAGCAAAGTGATGATTCTGAGAACAGCCCTGCACGTATTTCTTCTTCTTCTTCTTCTCTGTTGTTTGCTTCAGTCTCTCTTTAAGTTAATTTAAAAATGGCGATCTTTGGCCTCCATGCCACAGCATCTCCCTCACCCCCTACGCCTTTCCTGTCATAGCGATGCAAATGATTTTGCTTATTATTTTTTTTGTTCTGCTTTGAGTTTTAAAGATGTCCCCTTGTTCCCGCCCCCCCCCGTGTCTCCTTGTTTTCCTCCCCCCACCCTGTTTATTTTCCCCAGCCCTGCCAAATTACTCTTTGGTGACATCCTTTAGGGAAGTGTTGTCCCCATACCCCAAATCACATGAGAGGCAAAAATAATTGTATCGTGCAGGGGGAGGGAGGCTGGGGAATAATTCACACACTTCCTCATTTCTCAGTGCACTTTTTTTTGTAGCAATACCAGCAACATCTGTGTCTTGAAAAATGATCCAATTTTAGATATTTTTTTAAAATGTTAATTAAGTTCTACCCACTCCCAGGTGGGAGAGAATTAAAGGGCAAAAGTCTTGGATCTCAGGAACGGCAGCCTGCCAAACATAAACCCCAAAGCCAACGTCCATTGTTATAGAGAACTGTGGAGACGAAGGGGACCTTTTTCATGACCAAAGTGAAAACCTACATGGACAAGATCACTAGGTGAGATCGTTCCATATGGTGGCCCTCACAGCCCCTGGGTACTTGCCAATTTCATTTGAAATTAAATAGGTGGAAGCAAACTTCCATTTGGGTGGAGAGAAGGAGGCCCACTGATGAAGCTTTGTGCAAGGACAATCCACTCTTTTGTTGTTTTGGTCTGTTCTTTCTCAAAAACCCAAACAGCTGTCTGTATTTGCAGCTTCCCATTTGGGTGATGGCTTGCAATCGGCTCCTGCAGAACCACCGATATAGGACTGTTTTATTAGTACGGAAATGAGCAAAAGGCTTTGCAGGCCTGTTACGAAAAACATCGAAGCCAAGCCAAAATCTACCTTGCCAGGGAAGGGAGATGGCTTTAGAATGAGGCCTGCGTCTGGTCTGGCTTTCATGCTTTTATCCCTTTGTATTCCATCACTAGCTTACACGTCTACCCCGGCCTTAGACAAAAGTTGTGCCTGGGTATGCTGCGGCCCATATGCCTGGATTGAACGTACACGCTTCTCCCTTCCAGTTGACCAAGTCAAAACGAAACAGCTGGTCTGCGGCCATCAAAGCTACACCTGTCTGAGCTGCTTCATAGCCTTGTGACAATAGCAGTGCAGCTTCGTTACTTCTTTAGATATATTTTTATACCAAGGGATGAGACAATTGGCCCTGTGTTGCTTCAAAATATTTTGTCTTTCACTCCGTGTGGTAATTACAGCACTTGGAATGTCGGGATGTGGCCTGCTGGGGAAATGGTGGCAGGGTTAGTACTGGGGGTGGGGTGGGGGAATAAATACTTTGGTCTCTGCTAAACTAAAGAGCATTCTTGGATGAGTGGGTTACTGCTACAGACCAAAGGAGTGCAACTTTAAAAATTCGCCACACACCTCATCATTAGTGCTAAATCATATCTATTGGACTTCGTTCACCCCCTCCTAATTATGAGAGGGTTACTGCCTCCTCACCTTATAGCCTTGAAGATGTTCACTTTCTAGAACTAGATTTAAACCTCCCCCCCCAACCTCCCACCCCAATGTGGGTTTTAAGATTTGAACCCCTTCCTTTCGGGGTTGGGTGTGGAACCTCCCACCCAACCGTTTATTGCGAAAGCTGGCACTTAATTCTTTGTGCTTTTTTTCAAGGTGGATATGAATTTCTTTGCCCTGTTTGAATGAATGTTTTTGTGGCCATTTGAAATAGATTTAAAAAAAAAAAGGAAAGCAGGGACTTAAACTCAGAACATGATCTCACTTTATTGATCTTAGTTTATAAACTTTGTTAACAAGCAGTGCCTCTGCCATGCTAGAATCACAAGAATACAGGAGGTCCTAGGGAAAATTCTTGATTTGGGCAACTTCCATTAAAATAGGATTGCTTAGATATGTGCAGCGTTTGAGTTTGATTCCCAAACAATGCAAAGAGAAAAAAACAGAATACAGCCTTAAGCATTGTGCTGGAAAAAAAATTATATAGTTCCAATCCCAGGAAGGTGTAAAAGAAATTTTTAAAAAATTAAAACGTTTATGTAGAGTGCATGAGTGTGCTTGGACTACCAGTTGCAATGTGGATTCGTTTTTTTTCTTTTTTTTCTTTTTGAATGTGACAAAAGTTTTAAGGGACAACTCAAATGATAGAAAACAAAAAAATCAATGAGGGTTGTAGTTGGCCTTCCAAGCTCTCTGGTCTTATCAGGTGTATGTTTTGGCCCATGTTGTCTGATTTGCATCAAAATGAATTTTGCAGACTTAATTGTGTGGTTGTTTTGTTTTTTAATTATGTAACAAAAGAAAAAGGTAATTTCAAGTCTGAATAGAAATGAGATTTGTACTGGTGTAGCTCCAAAGCAGAAGAGAGATTGTGGCATTGCAAATTTAGTTACTGCTTTAAAAAAAAAGTGTACACAGGTTATGGTGTATAAGTTTCTCTTGAAGCTTCTTTGAAGCCATAGAAGTTAGGGCTTTTTAAAAAAATAAAATAAAAACAGGAAAAAAAAAACCTGAAAAACTAAAAATTTTAAAAAAAACCTTAAAAAATAAATTCTGCAAAAATGTTTCCTCGCGTTTTGGTTTAGAGATGTTTTGTCTTGAAGTGGAAATAATTTTCAGTGACTTCTTTTGGAAAAGTAAATGGTGCTGTACAGGTAGTCCTCAAGTTACGACCGTAATGGAGCCTGCCATAGTCATGAAGCAGGTTTATCTTGTGATTGAACCAATTTTATGAAGCATTTTGGGGTGGTCCTTAATGAATGTGGCAGTCTTTAAGAGAACCCCTAGAATGCTGCAAACAACTGTAAATGTTGGGCTAAGTTGCCAAGCGCCTGAAGTGCAGTCACATGACCAAGGGGTGGAAATGATCATCTGATCTTGGTCATTGGTTACCCCTCCCCTCCCAGGTAAGTCCATTGTAACTTCAAAGAGTTGCAATGTAACTGAAAGCCAAGGACTGCCTGCAGTGGTGCAGAGAGAAAGCATCTAGTGTGTAGAACAGTCTTTTTCAACCTCTGTGCCCTTAAGATGGGAGGACTCCAAATCCCAGAATTCCACACCCATCTTAAAGGTGCTGAAGTTGTGAAATGGTGCTCTCCGTTTTCCTTAAATGGATGCATCCCAGAAATCTCTGAGCATGAGATGAGCATCCTCCTTTTCTCCCTCATTCCCAGCACTTAAAAAAGATTCAGTTCCTTTCTCTTTACTCACTACCAACAAATGTACAATCCACCCACTCATGAATAACCATGGTATGTCACATCCAAGTTGGGACTCGTCCAAATGTTTCACCCTAAACTTAGCTTTTCCACAACCCCCCCCCCCCCACTTGCCCGGTTCACAAGCAAATAAACCACCTTATCCCGCAACATGATGGCTTGCATGATAATGACAATCTCATTTTGGTCTAGGCGACCATGTTCCAGAACATACTAGCAGAGATGATGCATCCTTCTGATAGGAGCCTTCTTCACACGTTTCATGCCTTTTCTTCCCAAATGAAACGGCAAGAGCATTTGACCCAGTTGCCAGCTGTTTCTGCTCCAACACTCTTGTTACTCTTTGGCAAGAGTATTGTCAAACATACGTCTATGTGCCAGAGGATGCAGCTCTCCTTGCCAACATTCCTTGTCAAAAATGACCCTCCTGAACTCAAACTAGGGAAACCCAGTAACCGCCTACAATGAGCCCTCATCTAAAGAGATTTCCTACCTAACTTACAAACTCAAGAAAATCTGGGCATCAAAACAAACTGATGGTTCAGCTTCACAGAAGTAGATAAGCAGATGTCTGGATTCCAACCTACTGATCCAAAAATAGTTTCAAGAACAGAAGCAGCTGTTAGATTCTGTGTCTGATACTTGGTCCATTATGCCGATGCTGTCTAACTGCCACAGCTTTTCTGTTGCAGGTGGCCAATGCTTCATCAAAACAGGTCTCTCCTACACTCAAACCATATTCAAACTACAATTTAAACTATTGGCTGTGGGTGCCCGTTCTCTCGTGTCTCATACACATACATACACACACACAAATACTTAAGGACAACTCTGCTGCCTTTATTCACTTGCTATTTACAAACAGAAAGGAAGGAGAGGTGGTGAAATGCTGAATAATAGTTTCTGATACAGTTATTGTATAGCATCGCATGAGCAGTCGGTGACACTATTGGAAGTTTACTCTTGGCCAAGATTAATTTGCAAGAGTAATTTGCAAATGCTAGAATGTGCATCAGGCTCCAAGAACTTCAACTGAACTTTCCCTTCAGTTGGTGACATTTTAATAAACAAATTTTATACAACAATCGGAGACTTACACTCCCACCAAAGTGATTCCAAAGGATGACTGAAGTGCTTTCAACCATCCAACTTAAAGTAGCCTGCTGTCAAGAGTTGCAAACTACCTCAAAACTATTTTTAAGTAGGCCTTTTTAGAACCGTATTCAATGATTATTTTTCATCTACAGAAAAACAGATTAGCACATTGCTGAAAAACAGTTTTCTGAAAAATGAACCAGTAGTGCAGGAGAAGATAAGGGGCTGTTGAGAATCCCCACAGGAAAGAAAGCTAAAAAATTTAGAGCCCTATGAACTAATGTGTGGATATTGAATAAGGCTCTTGACCAAAATCACTGATGTGCATATTTTCTCTACTGTCTGCTGATGGAGAGCTAGTAACTGGAGAATGATTCCATTCTATATACTGGCCGGAATAGAAATGTACACACAGTATACAGTGATTAACAATATACAAAGGAGATTCAAAAACAGATTCGCGTGACATAAGGCTCAAGGACCTCTGTGGAATAATCTCTATTTCCAGACAAGTAGTTTCAAAGGAAAACACACCTACTGACAGTGGCAAACAAACGAACAATCCAGGGTAACCCTTTTTTTTTCCTGATTAAAGATTCTGTCCCAGTTGAAGACTTTATGGTCAAATACTCTGTTAGAATCAAAGGAAAATGGACTCAACTTTGGTGAAACCAAACAGGGTCTTAATGCCATCAGGAAAAATTCAAGGGGTCATATTTGAAAGCAGGATTCCCAAAGTAATGGCCAGATGGAAGTTGCAGCGCAGCACCTCAAGAATGCACCAGGTTGGAGAAAGCAAGTCAGTGCATTTCCACTGAGAAACAAAACGTACCACAACGCATGTTTCTATCATAGAGAAACTGCACAAATATTTAGCATGAGGAACTGTTTCTCAGATAATTGAACTGCTTTCTTGCCTATTCATTATTTACTCTGGAGAAGGGCATGTATACAAGTTTGGGTGCAAAGAATCACACCAAATCCTTGACCAAAACAATCATGGATGTGGATAATTTTGCCATAACAATGGATAAATCGATTTGTAGATCATCACACCAGGATTTAGTTTGCCCTCCCACCAGAATAAAAAGCTGACCCAGTACCCAACCCCGTCATATTTTTAGGATGAGGAGGGACGCTTATCTGAATAGCGCCCTCAAATACTTTCTAGGGTTGCTTGCTTCGTATTGCAATTTTCCCAAAGGAACTGATGTAGAAAAGTAGCATCAATAGCACACTGACAGCTGTGACTTACTAATAGGAAGAGGAACCAAGCACTAGTAAATAAAGCAACACCTGGCCAAGAACCTTAAAAGTCCCTTTTTAGTCAGGGACTGCCACGTACAGTTAGTCCAAGTTACGCTCAGTCGAAGCGCAGCTGGTGTTGCCTAGAGGCATCCTAAATGCATCTGAACAATGGTAACATGCCTTTTCTGCCCGCCCCAAAAGAACCATATTCTAGCTTTTAAGAATTCATGAACGTAAAAAGGCATTTTTCCTCCTGAAAAAATTCCTGAAATCTCTCTCTGAATTAGATTTCTGCAAAAAATGGCTTAAGAGACGGGGAGGTTTCTCCCTGTTTTAAGGGGAAATACACACACGCATACAAACACAAACTAACCACAGCACCAGCCTGTCACTAGGGTAACAAGAATCGAAAATGCATTGTTAAGTTGCACTATATTAGCAGCAGCAGAAACTTTCTGAGGATAAAAGGCCAGAAATTTAGATGCATCTCTTAATTACAACAATCAAGTACACAGGGTTGCAAACTGCTCGTGGCCAAGGCTGTTCTGAGGGAGACCCACAATCTGCTGCTGACTCTTCAGCAACCTCACACAAGTAGAAAAAGTTGTCTCAAGTGGACCTTAAGGCAGCCTTTCCTGATATCATCCTCCAAGTATATTAGCCTCCCTAATAAATCTGCATTATCCTCACTGAGCAGGGCTGCCTTTATCATCTGCATTCTGGATATGATCAGGGTCCTAATCTGACATATCGGGTCAGATCAGGTCACTAAAGTAAATTCACACTTTACTTTCCCTTGAAAGCCAGCAAACACACACACACACACTCACACACTGCAAGTGTTTCTCAAACAGGGCCCTTTTAAGAGGTTTGGACTTCGACTCCCAGAATTGAAGTCCAAACCTCTTAAAAGGGCCCCGTTTGAGAAACACTGAACTGGGAGGTCAGTTGATCAGCTTGTTTTAGCTCTGTTATTTTCTCAGGGTCAAGGATTGTCTTGAAATGCTGCTTGCCATGCAAAAGGCTCAACACCCCCCCCCCACCACCTTCAGGCTGTGTATACAATTACCCCAAAGAGAACAAGTCATTTGTCCTGCTACACAACTGGAAGGGGACAAGGGCAACAGGAACAAAGCCCTACTGCTCCGCTGATATACCACCATCTAAGACGCCTTAGTCACCCGCCTGCCTGCCTGCCAGAAACGTGGGGAGGGGGAAATCTCTTTGGTGGTGGTGGTTGGGGGGGGGGGGCTCACTTCGCATGAGGGTTAGGTTTCCTCCAGGAGAGTGACTAGATGTAAAAGCAGCTACATTCAGTGCAAGGAATTCACCCAGCCAGATTGCCAACACAAACAGGAGAGATTGCCAGCCTCAGTCCAGCAAGGCCGACATGCATCTAGATGTAGAGGACGTGCGATCTGGGAGTGCTTGCCCAATCCCGGGTCTGCCAAAGGGGGAGCCCATCCTTTCACTGTGGCAGAACAAGCTGGCGGTCTCAGGTGGGGGTGGGGGGTGGGCGGGAAGGGAGCGCCGAGCCTGCCCGATGGCAGAATTTCCAGCAGCGCCTGCTATGTGTAGAAGATGATCTCTGGGATCTGTCCATCTTCCACCGAGGTGCCGTTGTTGTTGCCGGCAGCATAGCAGAAAGTAAAACAGGTCTTTGTCCCCGTGGTTGGTGACTCGTGGACCACCTTCCGCAATCCTTTGGTTCCATAGTGAGAGTCCGGTCCCTATATATGAAGCATTGAAAAATGAAGTTGTAAGAGGCCTTCGTTTAGTCAGGAGGCTGATCCGCTGAGCTTGGACCAGCCCCATGACGCTTACGGGTTACAGCGGGCAAGAGCAACCCAACCCCCTCAAGTGCCCGCAGCCAGTGGTTTATTTTCAATTATTGCATTTCTGCTTTTCCTCTCAGAGTCCCAAGGTAGCCCCACCCAAAAGAATATAGGCAGTCCTTGACTTATGACAACGGAGCCTAAAATTTCTGTTGCTATGCGAGAGAGTTGTTCCATGTGCTTTGCTGCAGTTTACAATCTTTCTTGCTTTCTTGTTAAGTGAATCACTGCAGTTGTTAAGTTAGTAACACAACTGTAAAGTGAATCTGGCTTCCCCATTGACTTGTCAGGTCGCAAAAAGGTGATCGCATGACCCTGGGACACTAACCGTTATAAATATGAGGCAGTTACCAACAATCTGAATTTTGATCATGTGACCATAGGGATGCTGCGACGGTCATGTGAAACATGGTCATGTTACTTTTTCAGTGCTGTTGTAACTTCAGTCACTAAACAAATGGTTGTAAGTCGAGGACTACCTGTACCTTACAAGAATAACCAGTCACCCAGGTTCTCTGCTTACACCCTCTCACCATCATGAAGGGCCCCCACCCAGGGACATTCAGGACTAACAACAGGGCACAATAACTAGCAAATCTTAAAATCCGCCTCCTGAGCTGTTCCCTTGCTTTCTCCCCACCAAGCAAAGCAAATTCAGAAAAAGCTCCGGAGTTGCTCTCTCAAGAATATTCCCTCTTCCGAGGCTCCGAGCACCTTCAGCGTGGCACAGGCTGTGTAGCTGACAGTGGGCAGGATCTCCACGGGCTCCTTAAACATCACCCGGAAAGTATTGGAGGATCCGTCGCAGCTAAATCCAGTGTCGTTTTGGCCCAGGATGGTGTTGCTGTCTGTGTGAATTATCTGAAAAGGTGGAAGGAAAAGGGACAGAAAATGGAAAATGTAATTATTATTTTTGGGGAACATATGGGTTTTTAAAACATTTCCAATATACATTAATGGAAGACGTCTAACTTTGCTTATAAGAAAAAGAGCAATGTTCCTTTCTGATAACGAGGCCTGGGGCAGGGATGGCAAAGCCTATGACACCAGAGTCAAAGTTGACACACCACAATATTTTGGATGGCACACCAATGTTCACCAACACCCATTCACAACTGTTTTCAAAAGCATGCTCCATAATTTTCAGAGGCTGGGAAGGCCACATGAGAATGGGTGTGCTTGTTCTGGGGAACACAAACAGAATAACAGAGTTGGAAGGGACCTTGGAGGTCTTCTAGTCCAACCCCCTGCCTAAGCAGGAAACCCTCTACCATTTCAGACCAGTGGTTGTCCAATCTCTTCTTAAAAACGTCCAGTGTTGGAGAATTTACAACTTCTTGAGGCAAGGTGTTCCACTGATTAATTGTTCTGTCAGGAAATTCCTCCTTAGTTCTAAGTTGCTTCTCTCCTTGATTAGTTTCCATCTGTTGCTCCTTGTCCTGCCCTCAGGTGCTTTGGAGAATAGCCTGACTCCCTCTTCTCTGTGGCAGCCCCTGAGATACTGAAACCCTGCTATCATGTCACCCCAGTCCTTCTTTTATTTAAATTAGACATACTCAATTCCAGCAACTGTTCCTCATATGTATTGGCCTCCAGTCCCCTAATCATCTTTGTTGCTCTTCCCTGCACTCTTTCTAGAGTCTCAACCAGAGGTGGATATTCAGCAGGTTCTGACCAGTTCTAGAGAACCAGTAGCGGAAATTTGGAGTTGTTCGGAGAACTGGCAAATCCCACCTCTGAATGGAGATTTTACATGTCCTTCCCCTGCCATGCCCACCAAGCCACGCCCACAGAACCGGTAGTAAAAACAATTGAATCCCATCACTGGTCTCAACGTCTTTTTTACATCATGGTAACCAAAACTGGATGAAGCATTCCAAGTGTGGCCTTACCAAGGCATTATAAAAGGGTATTAACACTTCACGTGATCTTGATTCTACCCCTCTGTTAATGCAACCTGTTAATGCAATACCCATAATTGGACTGTTTTACATATTAATATGTAAAGGATTGTTCCACTTGTGTTTGGGGATGTGACATGCCAGCAGTCAAGTAAGACATTTTCCAATTTTTTTGACCTGCGTGGGGTCCAAAAGGTTTGCCATCACTGGAGGAAATGATGTACCTGTGTATTACCTCGTGTTGCTTCACAAACCACTCAGGCAAATCAAATCCAGAAAGTTACCTACCTGTATATTTACTTGGTAATCTGTGGGGCCATGGATCGAGCCATACAACCCAAATCCAACTATAAATATCCGCTTGTTGACGGAGAACCTGCAGAGTTTGCAAAAAATAAAAAATAAAAAAAAATTGAGAGACCAAATCAATGTGAAAGAAAAGAGGCTACTCCAGTTATAATTTTTTTTCCCCTTCTTTCTTCTTTGTCCTCTGGGAGACAGCCTCCTTACTTTGAATACCCAAACACTTCCAAAACCTGAGAGTTGAAAATAACTTAGCAAGTCAGCAATAGCCCCCAATCCAGATTTGCATACCATTGTTTCAAATAAAAATTAATGGAATGGAAACAAAAACCTGGGAACAAACCTTTGAAGTGGTGCCAGATGCTTGTTACTTTATGCATCTGATTACCATTTGTTTTGTTTCCCAGAAGGACCTAAAGGAAGGCTTTCCTTTACTCCAGTACAGGAAGTAAAGATAAATAAACCGATTAGCATCCATTTCAGGCTGTTCAACTGCAAGCCAACAATAAAATCTGTTGGCATTATTGATCCACTTATTGTTACCAGAGTAAAAAATCGACATATCATGGGCAGCTTGAATGACACACTCGTCTTAGTTTAAACTCTTGCACAAAGTATCATAGAGAACAGGGGTGTCCAACCCTGGCAACTTTAAGAACTTCCAACTCCCAGAATTCCCTCCATCAGCTGGGGAATTCTGGGAGCTGAAGTCTGAAAATCTTAAAAGTTGCCAAGGTTGGACACCCCTGGTATAGATGGGGCATTAACTGGGATGTAGATGAGACATTAACTGTATGGAAGGCAGATCCCCCAGAGGGGAGGTACACCTGACCCTTTGCATCTATGAATCAGTAATTGTCCCCTTCTTAGCTCTATCCCACCATTGGAGTCCATCATTTGTCTGCCTTTGGGCTTCAATGACATTCCCAGGATTGTATTTCCTTGCTCAAATCATAGAGGTTCCAAAATTTTAACTTTTTAATTTAATTACTTTTCACCTAGTTTGTGTCCACTTTTGTCCCAGCCTCACCTACTTTCTGAATTCTGGGGATTCATTCAAAAGCAAAACATGGAAATTCTTCCCACCCTTTCTTCCCTGCCCCTTCCACACAGGGGCACTGTCATTTCTGTTAATGTATGCAATTCAGATGTCCAGATCTGCTTATATGACAGGCTGCTACTATTCATTGCATCAGATTTGGATAATCAGAAGTTATTCCAAAGTTTCCCAAGACGGTTGGATGGACCACAAAACTTCCCCACCCGGGAACCCAGTGATAGCTTGAAATTCTTGGTTTGGATAGTTTAAAACTTGCGGTCCGATTTAGGTATTGCCCAAAGAAATATGTACATAGTAACATTTTATACCTATAAATGACTTTGGTTTTAATCGTAATATAACAAGGGCAAACAACCCCTTTAAACTAAGGTAAGGCTACTATTTTAAACTCAATTGCAGAAAGTTTGATTTTTGTAACAGAGTCGTCAAAGTCTGAAATATTTTATCTGATTCAGTTGTCTCAGCTACTAACTTTCACGATTTTAGTCTAACTTAACTTCGGGGGACCTCACCCCGTGTTTAAGAGGTCTCTGAGGGGGGCATGTATAAGTGCACTGCAGTGCCTAATCGTCCCTGTCACATTTTAATTTTTTTCATTTTGCTCATTCAAATGGGCAATTTTTCTTTGGCGAATAAACACATGAAAGATGTGCTTGGTCAATACAGCAGCGCTAGAAAGCATACCTGATCCGGTCGCTGGTCCCACTGTACCCCCAGCGGCTTTCCACCTGCTGAAAACGGTTGATGCTGCATTCCTTCCCTCTCAGGCAGCAGCGAGGGCGGTCGATGAACTCTACCCGGGGTTTGGGGTTGACGGTGAAATGAAGGAACAGGCTAACCACCTCCCGGTCCGTGAGGATCCCTGACTGAGCTGGCCCTGCAGAAAGCAGAAAGGAACTCTGACAACCGTGGTGGGAGGATCATTGCTTTCACTGAGATACATTTTTTTCCTTGCTTTTCCTTCCAGAAACCAGCTCTCTCTTTAGGATCAGGTAGTCCTCGACTCATGACAGCAGTTGGGATTGGGATTTATATGGCTAAGCGATGCGGTCATAACCATGGCAATCCCTGCAGCTCCAGTCGCTACTGTGGACTGAATCCCACAGCTCTTAGCTGAGGCAAGTTCCTTCCCATAACCAAAGCCTGTAGAAACGTCGGCCAGTCAGTCCCAGGCCCACAGGCAGGGAAATGGCTGGGTCCCCAAGAGGCATGGGGCAGCACCATGGAAGAGGGATGAAGCTGAGAAGGTATGAGGGGGGTGAGGGGGTGCATGAGAGGGGCCGTGGGGGTCAGGGAGGATGCACAAGGACGCAAGGGAGTTGCAAAACGCACAGCATAGGTAAGGAGGGTGCTATGGGGAGCAGGAGAGGTGATCTACATATCTGGAGGCTGCTCCAGAGATGAGGGATCATCAGATGGATGCAGGGAAGTGGATGTTCAGATTTAGATAAAAATGCAAGGGCTCACAGCATAAATTGCAAGACAGAAAGTGTGACTTTGTTTCATCTGGGTAACTGTGGGTCTATAGGAAGGCAGGCATTCATAGTTTGGTTACAACTGTCTCTTCGCCACCTGCCTTCTAGTGCAGAATGAACACATCCCTATTAGAAGCAAACAGGAATATTTGGTGTGGTAAGTAGGACGTACAGACCGCCCTGTTACCTAAACTGCCATTATTATTTTATTTTTGTTTTATTTTGGCCGTAAGGAGCTGGTAAGGACAGGGAATCAGGATCAAAACAAAGGAGCAGAGAAATCTATACAAATACATAAATGCCCTCAATGGCATAAAGCTATTAACCCACCAGATCTCTGTAGATTTAAAACCCTACTTTTGAGAAACAGTCCTCAAATACCTGCAGCAAATTCCTCGATTGTCATCAAAGGGAAGCGAATGAGGGAAAGAGCTTTGCCCAAAGCTTTCCGCTTGTTCTCTGGTATCACCTGCAACTGTTGCCGCTGGCACTCAGCCTCTGACCACCTGACCACTGCGTTGAAGAGGCGCACCTCCCGGATGCCAAGGCTGTCTCGCTCCAAAACTGCCACCAAGGTGTCTATCAGACAAAGAGAGTGTCACTACCAGCCAGATTCATCACTCATAGCTATTTGGGGATAAAGATAAACATTGGGGGGTGGGGAGGGGCTTAATGTTTTCACTCTCTATCGAAACGAGCCAGTGTTGAAAATCTCCTAACTTCAAATACTTAATAGACTGAACTACCAGCTCGGGAAGCGCTCTACACCTCCACTTTATAGAGAATCCCGGAGAATCACTCCTTTATACAGGCACCTGCCAGGCCTCATTGGAGCCTAGCGCACTTTTTAGAAAAACACACCTACAGGAGAGCCAAGATAAAGAGTACAGCACACTGGCCAGAGGAGGCCTGGAGGGAAATCACAAGCAGAACCCCAAGGCAATTTGAAGAGATCAGAATAACAGAATTGGAAGGGTCCTTGGAGGTCATCTAGTCCCAACATCTTGCTCAAGCAGGAAACCCTATACCATTCCAGACAAAGGAGTATCCAATCTCTTCTTCAAAACCTCCAGTGTTGGAGCATCCACAACTTTGCCGGGAGGCAAGTCATCCCACTGATTCTCCCAGAGAAACAGGACCCTCCCAACTGTTTGCATATCAACCTTCCAGATGACAAACTGGCAAGAGGTGGGGGGAGAGGCAATCCACATCAATCACCCAGAGATAATGATGGCAAGTTGCTGCAACTGTTACCTTCCTTCCAGAAGCTTCTTGCTCCCTACATATACCGCCCTGTTGTTCTACAGAGCTTGGGGGAATTTAACCCAAGAAATCTGCCTTTTTTTGCTGGCAACTTTCCCCATAGAAAAAGTAGCAAGACAACGCATTTTGTAACATCATGTGCTGCTGGTGAGCAGCTAGGACCAAATGCCCTCTTTGTCCACCGCTTGACACAAAAGCACGGGGGGGGAACGACACTGAGACTGACTTGGTCAATGTTCAAATGCTACTCAAGAGGAAGGCATTTCGTTTGCTCCACTTCAGGAAAAAGGACTCATCATATGATTATTATATGCCCCTCTATACAGAAATAAAAAAAAATCCCTCTACAAAGAAACTTATGTTTCACAAGTCAAGCTAAATCAGAACTTTTCTTAACAGGTCAATTTTCCATGGATAACATTATTTTTCCTTAACCTAATATGTGTGGAAAAGCGGTCATGCATAGGATAATATTTGTCTCTATTTCGCAGATTAATGCTTGAATCTCTACTCAGAATCTCTTAGGTTTCATCTAAGGGAAGGTTTTGCTGAACTTTTAAAAAGACCTTCCACAGCACAAAAACCCTCGTTTGTTTCCTGAGATGGTAGCAGAAGGCTGCACCTAAATTGTAAACATTCACACCCATCCCTTCAATGCAGTAACTTTAAGGACTGGCACCTGAATGACTTTGTTATTTTCTTCAACGTTTCGTCTGTCTGTAAACAATTCCAAGAGCTATCAAACTGAAGAGCTGAATAAACTTCCTTTAAACTGCACTAGAAATACAACTGACATCTGCAACCTGCATAAATAAGACAAACTAAACGGGCTAACAGTTTTGCATAATCTATTCTAATTTTACTTGACAGTGGCAGGGACAAGAACCTAAATAGAGGTTTTAACAGGCCTTAATTTAAACTGCTTATCTTACAGCTGGGCGTACCTTGAGAAGCACACAGAAGGACACCTCTATTAATTCTGTCAGCTCAGAGGACAGGAGAAGCACCCAAGCAAAAGAAAACTAGCACAAACTATTGGAACATCTTTCAATTCTGAGAAAAGCTTACCCAGGTCAATATCAGTGAAGCCTTCCGCATTGATGGCATCCGAGGTGTTTTTATCTATGTTTTCCAAGCAAAGGCTGGCCAACTGGGGCTCATCGAAGAGTCTTGCCTAAGAAATAGCCATCAACCAGTAACAATAAATGGAAGGAGCACATGGTGGAGTGTGTTAACTTCAGGACTTTTTAACCCCATTCCATTCCCTACTTTGTAGGAGGGTGAAGATTCATACACATAAATGCTCTGTATGCACAAAAGGATGGGATAAAAATGTCATACAAATATACATTTCTACAAAATTCATATGAAGTGGTAACCAACCATACGTCATAGTTTATGCATTTGGGATTGGGTTAAATTAAATCTGATGGTGTCATGACATCCAAGCCATGCGAGCTACAGTTTCCTTAAGGACTTCACCACTTTGTCTGTGGTTTGTGGCGGTTTGCAAATTATTATTTCAGCCAACTGTACACCTTAGGATTGCAAATGTTACTGAGGCCATGTGCAACAAATAAAAGGAAAACAAATTATTAAAATGGACACATAGATCCATATTTAAATGTTAAAATCATTGGCATCAATTCATAGAACCAAATAAGACATGAAAATAGGCCCATTCTTAGGTTGAATTTTAATTCTGCCTCAACTGCATCCCATGGTTTGCAAGCAACACCAGAAAAAGTCCTTTCACTTGGATACACACTGCGGGCTCCACATGCACTCCACTGATGCTAGCAAGTACTAAGGCACCACTAACTTGGTGGATCTGTTTGCTTTCTCCTCAGTTTTTAACTTTAACCAGAAGTCATGAAAGTCTCTAGGCTTTACCATGGAGGTTCATAAGGATCTGTCCCAGCAGCAGATGAAAACTGATAGCTTTGCAAGAAAATTGATCAGAGAAGGTGAGGAACTACAAGTAATCCTTGACTTATGACCAGTTAGGTCTGGAACATCTGTCATTAAGTAATGTAATTGTTAAGTCCAGTCAGATCCAATTTTAAAATCTTTTTGCTGTTGTTGTTCAGCAAATCACACGGTCATTAAATGAATCTGGCTTCCTACTGATTGTGCTTGCAGAAATCCCCTGGGAAGGTCACAAATGGCAATCACACGATCCCAAGAAGCTGCAACTTCATAACGATATGGCCAGTTGACAAATTTCAAACATGTGACCATGGGGATGCAATGACATAAGTGCGAACATAAGTCAGGTTGTTTCAGTGCTATCGTAACTTCAAAAAGTTGTCAAAACAAATGGTCATAAGTCGAGGACTACCTGTAGCCGGTGCTAGCATCCTCCTCAGCTCACACCAAGAACTTTCAACAGGAAAGGCTAGTTGAGAGGCAAAGATGTTCAAACATACCTGGGTTAAAAGCATGAAGGCATTATCTGCTCTGAGATTTTTCTTCAGAAACTCTACACAGTGAGCCTCAAGGGCAGGGACTGCGTATTTTTTTGCAGTGTAAAGAGTCGTCATCACAGTCTCTGGCCCAATCTGAACTTCATCTGAATAAAGAAACCTAAGAGGAAAAATGGAGAGGGAGGAGAAGAAAAAATATTATCCCGCTCAAAAGCCACATTATTTACTGGAGAAAATACACCAGAAATGTCAGATTATTAGTTGTTGTGCAGAAGGTCCTTCTATTGTCTAATTAAAAGGTGAATTCCCATTGTGTACCAATTCAATAACAGGTTTTTTTTTAAAAAAACAGACTATTAATCTCATCTGTAAATCCATGAGGACTAGGAGCAATACTTTTAAAATTGGAACTCTTTAGACACAGTATGCTGCCCTGGGCAGCACACTGGCATATGAGGTACATATTTTTATTTATTACACTTCTGACTTTGATTTGTATATTTTAAAACCAAGCCAGTCAGTGACTGTTGCGGCCAAGATATTCTAATCTCTGTCTCCAAACATTACTCTGACAAATCTGAAAACCTGCATTTGTTTAAAAATGTTTACATTTGGGGGTTTTTAATACTTAATTCAATATCCATTACATTGCCTGCCTTTCTGACAGGACACATGAGACGATCAGATCCAGATATATCTAGCAGTTAATTAAATTGCAATACCAGGCTGATCATAACGGTACAATTTTGGGATTGTGACTCACCAGTTTTCTTTCCCATATCTTTATGAAGGGCTTATAAACTATACGTGAATGGAACCCACACTTAAAAGACCTCTAGCTTGACAAAGAGAAACAGATGTTATATTGCCAGGTTTTGAGGGTAAAATAAATGTGATATCGGGCCTGGAAGTAGAAGTAGAAATGAGGAAGAAGGGGGAAATCTTTCAATACAGTACTCCTGATATTTTAAGATTCAAGCCCCAACATTTCAGATATGCATTTTAAAAGCATGCGAGCCAAAAGAAATTTATCTGATCCAGGCTAAAAAAAGGGGGGTATATGAAAAATCAGAGAGAGAGAAGCATAAATACTGGGGCTGAGGAGGGGGAAGGAAACCAGTTTTAAAAGCTCTAAAAATACAGAATTGCCATCTGGGACACCGCATGTCTTCCTAAAAGAACTATAAAGACCCTTTTTAAAATATGTATTTAAATTAAAAGTGATGCCCAGGATAGCACTGCACCAACCCTATTGCAGAAAGGTTGGGGTGTGGAGGGGGGGAAATCACTTAACTTGCATAAAAGCAGGCTTACTTCAGCAAAGCTAAGAAAGCAGCAGGCTCTACATCAGGTAATTCTATCTCCGTGGAGGTTGTAGCCATCCCGCCATTGAACATTGCATCAAAGACCGCGCTGCCCACAGCCAGCACAAACCTGACATAGGAAAACACAAAAAAGAAAAGCCTCACTTGACTGGATTCCGTTTTAAATCTTTCACATCTATTTTTATTCCATAGTTAGCACCCTGTTTCATTCCCCCAGATTTACATAAATGATACTGAGAATGATGCTGAAAATTCATTCAATCAGATTTCAGGACATCAGTCACACAGGCTGAAATAAAAGTGGATACTTTAACCATGGTGGTTAGAGCACACAGTGTCTAAATAAAGTGGCTTAAAGTTAGTTTATATGGTATATATGTTGCGAGAAATCTCCCTGGGTTCCTCTCTCCGAGGAAAGAAGGAGCAAAAACCAGCCACTTGGGAAGAAGTTTCTCTATTTTATTTGGGTCAGAAATAGTACAAAGCTTGTTTCTGGGACAGCTGGCAAACGGACTGGCATGTCAGCAAGGTTTGTATACATTCTTTGGCTGTTGAGCCATATGTTCTCATGACCACGAGAAAGCAGGAAATAGAGCTTTTATGGTTAGAGGAAACACAGTATTCTGATTGTTACCTTCTTTATATCAGCAGGGATGTTCTTGGCCAGGCAGAGGTGCTAAATTCCACTTCCTGCCTGTCAATGATCTATTGACTTTAAGGAAACATTGTATTTTATAAGTGGAGATGGGTTTCTCCAGAATCAGAAGGCTGTTAAAAGGAGGGGGAGGGGACAGTTCAAAGACTTTTTTAACTTCTGACAATAAATGTTTTTTACAAGTGTGTTAAGGTTTTCTCTTCTAAATCCTTAACACCAAATTCAGGGCCTTTTATCAAAAGCTGTTTTGCTATAGGAAAAAAATATCAAGAACGAAGTATGGGAGACAAACACATTATTGGCCTCATGATGCAAAAATGAGTACAGGTAGTCCTTGACTTACAACAGTTCACTTAGTGATCGTTCAGTTACAACATCACTGAAAAAAGTGAATTATGACCATTTTTCACACTTACGACCGTTGCAGCATCCCCACGGTCATGTGATTTACATTCTGATGCTTGACAGCTGACTTTCATTTATGACGGATGCAAAAGGTGATCCCCTTTTGCAACCTTCTGATAAGCCAAGTCAATGGGGAAACCAGATTCACTTAACAACCGCGTCACTAATTTAACAACTGCAGTGAATCACTTAACAAATGTGGCAAGAAAAGTCGTAAAATGGGGAAAAACTCGCTTAACAAATTTCTCACTTAGCAACATAAATTTGGGGCTCAATTGCGGTCGTAAGTTGAGGACTACCTGCCCAAGCCTGGTTTAAAAACTGTTCATATTCTGGAAAAATGTTACTGTCATGTAAGTATTAGTCTTTAATTCTGTAAAGCTGTGTGCAATTCAGCTTCAGGAAAAATGTCCTGTTTGGTATCTTAACATGCATAAAGAGGGTTTTAAACAGAAACCTTTCATTTTACAATTGCTCCCCTAACTCTTAGCAACCATCAGCTCTGTTGTACGAAAGTGTCATGAGATGCACTGCACTCCTGGTCAAGATTCCATTCTTAAGGAGTACAAAGGCTCTATTTAGTAGCATGATTTCAGAATTATAGCAACACGTTAATGTGTGTACATGTTGAGGAAATATGTGATGCTGCAAACTTACTGAAATTAATTCACATCGGTATAAGATTTCACAGCAATACAGGCTAATAAATCTTTCCTAACTTCAAGTCAGGAACATGTTATTTAATAGTTCTGTATTATTAAATCAAACAATACAATCAGACCACATCCCCACCCCTACCAGCAAATTAACCTCAGGCAAACCCAGCACAGACTGGCACCAACTTAGTGCTTGATCACTGGCTGCAAACAAACAAGCCAGACATAGCCCATCCCTTGGAACTGTTGTAGACCAAGTCCACCCTGGAGTTTCCAACTGAACCATCCCTTCTAGGTAACGTATTATTTTAAGTCTTGCCCATGGGTGCATTAAGCAAAAAAATGGTCCATGGCCTCTTCAGTTCAGTTGTGATATTGCACAGACAAATCAGCAACCCCACGGTGTATCCGAACTCTGCATTTTAAAAGGCCCCCGACTTTTATTTGTGAAAGCCAGGCCAAATTTAACTGTGTTTTGCCTGACTTCTGAACTCCTGCACCCTATTGGGCACAATCCTCATGCCCTCAACCCAGTCCCACCAACAAGCCACACAACGGAAAACAGCCTTTCCAAAGCTATTTTGTCTGCAAAAACCTCTCTCTTCTAGTTTTTCCCCACCTCTCCACACCCTGATGCCAGCCCCTTTCTTCAACCTCTAACCATCCTACCTCATTCATTCCAATCTCCCCCAAGCCCCTTACTCTTCATCCCAAATCTGCCACCCCTGTTCCTTCCTCTAGCATCAGTTGGAGGACAAGAGAGGGGAAATCCCTTTTGCTGGAAGCTTCAAGCAGGAGCAAACCAGCCGTCCCTTGGGGATGCTTTAACTGGCTATTTTTGCACTGAGCAGGAGGGTGGACTCCATGATCTCAATGGCCCCTTCCCACTGTAGGAACGGCCTCAATTTCACCTCTAAAGGTCTAAATTTCACCTCCAATGACTGACATCCCCCCCATAACACCTCCAGGGCCTCTACACACCTCTCCCTTCCCTACATACTGCGTACAGTCCTACTGATAGCTACTTTATTCTTAGCTCCAAGGACAGGACCTCCATCTTTTATCTTTCTCCTCCTTGAGGTGGGGAGGGCTCTGCACCCTCTTCCTCCTCCCTTTCCAATTCCCAAACACCCTCCCCAAGGAAAAATACCCGACTCCCCCCTTTCTTTCCCCCCCCCCCCCCCCCCCCAGACCCCCCCCCCCCAGAAACGGACCCCCCCCCCTCAATTAAAAAAAGCCCCCTTCTCCGACCTGTGGGCGGGGATGCGCTGGGCGCCGGCGCGGCCTTTGCCCACCAAGAAGTGGACGTCGCTGAGCACCTCGTTGTTGAACAGAAAGGAGAAGCGCTCCTGCACCGTTGGCTTCGTCGCCTGCCAGTTGTAGGCCGGCTCTCGCGGCCCGGGCGGCGGCGGCGAAGGCGAAGAAGAGGCCGGGCACGAAGGCGAAGCAGCAGCAGCCGCCGCCGCCCCCGCCCCCGCCCCGCTGGCCGCCACCGGCAGCGGGTTGGTGCTGCCCCTTCCTCCCGCTCCGTGGTTATGCGTAGGCCCGGAGGAGGAGGAGGAGGCCTGAGGCGAAGCAACGGCGAGAGGCGGGGACGGCAGCGCTGCCTGAGGCGGCGAGAGCAGCAGCAGAGGCCCGTCGCCGCTGTTGGAGCAGGAGGAGGGCGGTGGCGGCGCGGCCGCAGGCGAAGCGGGGAGCGGCGAGGGCTGCGGGGGCGGCCCGTTGCCGGCCTGAGGGGGCGACGGCGCCGATGCGTTGGAGGAGAGGCTGCCGCAGCCCCCGCCGCTTCCGACGGGCCCGGCTCCGGCCGCCATTTTGCGCGGAGGCGGCTGCCGGGGAGGGGCCGCCTGCAGCAGGAGGAGGGGGCGGCCGCCGGAGCCGCTGGAGAGGACGACGAGGGCGGCGGCCAGGAGGAGGCCCGAGCGAGGCGGCGGCGGCGGCGGCGGTGGAGGAGGTGGCGGGGCGGCTGGGGAAGGCGGGCGGCGGCGGCGGCGGCAGCAGCAGCGGCCGCGGCCCATGAGGCGGAGGAGCCCGAGCGGGCAGGGCGGCGGCGGTGGGTGAGGAGGAGGAGGAGGAGCTGCCATGCCTGCCCCGCTATTAATTACGAGGAGGAGGCGAAGGAGAGAGAAGCGCGTCTTTTTTCCATCTCGGTTGGGTTGTGATTGATTGCAATGGGCTGTGGATTTTTTTTAAAGGGATTTATTATGACATTGAGGCGGTTCGGGAAAGAAAACGCGGCTGGGGAGAGTTTGCGTTTACGAAGAACAGGCTGTGCGGTGGGTGCAGAGGTCCTGATCCTCTGGAAGTAGATATTTTGAAGTTGTTTTTAAAAAGTTGGGGCGGGGGGAAAGGCTGTTTGAAATACGAAGTCTTGTCATGACCGGAAATATTTTGTGTTTATTTTTTTTAGGACTCGCTTCTCTCCATCAAATAAAGTGTGTGTGTGTGTTGGGCCAGTCATTTCAAGCAGGCAAAGGGAAAAAGGGTTTGTTTCTGACAGATTTAGAAAAGCAGTTAGAATGTTTTAAAAACATTCATATGGATTTTTTGTTAAAAAATAATCATAAGTATCTGGGATAAATCAATTCAGAGGAGGAAAACTTTGTATAGGAATGGCTATTGAACTCCTATTCAAGTATAAGGCATCCTATATTAATTCTCAGGTGATGGATACCATGGGATAAGAACAGATTACATTAGAGTTAAATGCTAAAGTAGATTTGTAACTGTTGTTGCTATAGAAGTGTTCTCTATATAGAAGAATAAAAAGAATTAGAATTAGAAATAAAAATCCCCAAAGAATAAGAAATCCTCCATAAGAATGAAAAAAAAAAATCCCCTGTCTCTCCCTGAATCTCTCATCCCCGTTTTTTTAGCCTAGAAAAGTCCACTCCAAAAAAACAGAGCTTCCATCCATCAGAGGAGATGCAATGCAGCCAACAATCTTTGAAGATGGAAGCCAGCAATGCAAAGAACTAAAGATGGACAGAAGCTGACTGCCCACGCAAAACCAAATTAAAAAGACAAAACACCTATGCTCATACTTCCCATACCCATGAGGGGCAACTATGAAAACCACATTCACAACAAAAAGAAAATGTACTGATATAAAAAATAACAGAATAAAGAGTTGGAAGGGACCTTGGAGGTCTTCTAGTCCAACCCTATGCTTAAGCAGGAAACTATACCATTTCATACAAGTGACTGTCCAGTCTCTTTTTAAAAAGCTCCAGTGTTGGAGCAGCCACAACTTCTGGAGGTAAGTTGTTCCATTGATTAATTGTTCTAGGTTGGTTCTCTCCTTGATTGATTTCCATCTGGTGCTTTCAGGTGCTTTGGAGAATGACTGACTACCCCCCACCCTTGTGGCATACATTGGAACACTGCTATCAGGTCACCCACTAGTCCTTTCATTAAACTAGATATACCAAATTCCTGCACCATTCATATGTTTTAGCCTCCAGCTCCTGCACCATTCATATATTTTAGCATCCAGTTCCCTAATCATTTTTGTTGCTTTTCTCTGCACTCTTTCCTCAATCTCATCTTTCTTATATCACGGGGACCAAAACTGGATGCAATATTTCAAGTGTGGCTTTACCAAGGCATTATAAAGTGGTACTAACATTTAAAGTGATCTTGATTCTATCCCTCTGTTAATGCAGCCTAGGATTGTGTTGGGTTGTTTTGGCAGCTGCAGCACACTGCTGGCTTATATTTAAGTGATTGCCCATTAGGACTTCAAGACCCCTCTCGTAGTTACTACTGAATTTCTATTAATATACACCTATTCTGTATCTGTGCATTTGGTTTTTCTTGCCTAAATGTGGAACCTTACTTTCCTCACCATTGAATTTTCATTCAGTGTTCAAGTCAATAACAATTTCTTCCAACCATAACAGCACCCATCAGACAGATATATATGTTTCCTTCATATAGCTAACACAAAGGGTCAAAATTCTATAAAAACCTCATCGTCCAGTTGTTAGCTGCCCCCAAGACCAAATCTCTGTCCTTGGGAAATAAACCAATTGAACCTCCTTTCCACAGCAGCTGCCTAGTATCTGACTGTTTCCTCCAGCTTGGAAAAAGGGACCCTGTAAAAAAAATTTTAACTTTACAATTAGTCTTGAAGTAGGACTACAGTAATTAAGTTTTCCCTGCATATTCCTAAGCATACAATTAAATCCTGAATTTTCTTCATTGACCAGACAACCTGTGCTCTGTTGAGTCATCATTTCAGCTATATTTCCTTATCTAAACATAAAAATAATGATTCAGGAGCAGGGAAAAAGCAGTGGAAACAGGAATGATTTCCGGCTTCCTGCCAACTTCCCCATTGAATTTCTCTTTAGGAATCTGGCAGGGAGCATCAAAATCTTCCCTTCCCTGCAGGCAGGAGAGTAACTGCTGCTGGGTGGAGGAGGGAGCAAGGAATTTCTAAAGTGACTGGGATAATATTGAAAATGAAGATCACATGACCACAGTAGCCACCAGGAGCACTGAAGCAGCTATAACTTCCCCAAATGTGGGAAACTTAGGTACCAAATACCTTGGGAAACTTAGGTAACAAATTGTGGATGTAATGTGTAAATTAGCCCATTTGAGGTATCTGGATTTAAAAAATAGTTACCATATTATTTACCATTTCAGCTAGTGAAAGAGGACAAGAGTGTTAGTAGTATATAGATGAAGTCTTCAGTCTTTGCAGCAGTTAAAATGTTGAACTTGGATAGGATAGATCCATCCTCAACCATAAAAGCTCCCTAATGGACTAATCCGTAATTGATCAATACAATTAAATTATTCTTGGTGACACTCAAATAAGCAATTGATAATCCTTGCGGAAAGTAGCACAAGGAGTTCTCATGGCAAGCATAGAAATAAGCAGTAATCTATGATTCAGCACATTACCCAATTCATGAGAGAAGACAAGGAGTTTAGACAATATAGCACATTTTATTCAATGAAAAAGTTGAAGCAGGAACTCCATGTGTGGCAGTAGTTAGCTACAACTGGAGAAGCCAAAAAGAGAAATTGAGAAATTTGTTACAAAACAAAGAAAATCTGAATTTAGGAGACTTCACACCACAGTAAAGAGGAAGGAAAAAAATTGCAAAATGTACTATTCTGAGAAAGCGAGACACTGATTCTACTTTGCTTGAAAATGGGGACCAAAATAAAACATTCTCCACTGAAAAGAGGGGAAAGATTGGGGTTTTTGGAGAGAAATGGAATGAAAGAGCACTATACATGGCACTTTGAGGTGAGTGACAGACAAAATATAAACAGCATCTTTATCAGTAGCTTTTCAGTGCTTTCTGATTTCGCCTGCTTAGTTTGCTCCTTGGGTTTCCTGAAGCCAAGAGCTCTGGGGACTCTATTCAAAGGGAAGATATTGTTATGCCATTCTTTTGTCTGATTCTGGATCCAGTTGATCAGGTGGAAGTGTATGACTGTTCTAAACTGAGAAAGCAAGAATATTTAGGGACCCCTGAAGATTGTTCCAATGTTTAAGAAGGCAAAGCACTGGAGGGAGTTTGATTCGGCTCCATTAAGGCTGAGGGACATTCTTCTACTTTACTGCTAATACAAGTAAGCAGTCTCTGTTCTTTGAGGCTCAAATCCATCAATTAGCTCAAAAGTTTCTCCAAGATAAGCAGGGGAAAAAAAGCTGCTAAATGAGATGGACAGCTCAGAACAAGTTATCCACCATTTAACTCTGTTGAAGACAAAGTTATTACTGATTCTGTCAAAAAAGAGGCGAAAATCAACAGAGACCAGAAAAAAGAGTAAGTGGGTTACTTGACCAGCCGTTTGGAGAAAGCCATTATCCATGGGGAAAATGTCTTCTTTCCTAGCCTTAATTATCAAAAGGTTGATGGTCCTCTCAATAATTGTTTCGTGTTCCAAGGAAGATCCAGATGTCATGTAAAAGTATATGCTTACTACTGCTCATTGATTAACGTCCATATTCCAACAAACTCAAATTATACAGATTATTGTTATTTGGGGCTACAGCTACCATTATTTTACTAAGACCCTTCAAAAAGCACTGGGTTGAAGGAGATGTCTATAATGAAAAAAAATCATAATTGGGTCTTTTTAACATCTTTATTCCCTTGCTAATAGAATTGTTATGAGGAGTGGGATGCCTATTCCTAACGGATAAAAGTATCAAAACTGCAGAAGGAAACTGAACTGAGAGAGACTGGCCCAGAGTTACCCGGCAGGATTTCATGCTTCAAGTGGGACTCTACTCAGTCTCCTTGTTTCTAGGCCAGCACCTTAGCTATTACACCAAACTGGTGTATATATTGTTATATTGATTTTATCTTGAAGTAAAAAATAATAATTTAAAGTTATATTGATTCTATCTTGCAGGGGCAAAATTCTGGTCCCCTAACAGCCAGTGGAAGATGTATTTCATTCTGTTCATTCGGGAGGAACCACCACCAAATTCTGGAGCTGTGCATGTTGCAGGCACTAAGTGAAAAGTGTACATTAGAAATTCTGGCAGCCGTGATGTAAAATGTACCAGTTGAACACTAGAGGTAGCTACAGACCAGGATGTAATGTACAATTAGACTCAGACTTCCAGTTATAATATTCTGTAGCAAAGTTACAAAGTTTCAGAGCTTGGTCTGACTGCCTGAAGAAACCTTGGACAGCATTGTCCACATCTTTAGAAGTAGGTGAAAAATAAATTTATTTAATTTAGAAATGTGTACAGCCATTCCTCTTAAGCAAATAATCTGGGCAATGCTGTAAAAACTGCATGAATACAATCAATACCAAATAAACACACCAGACTTGAGGGCACTTCATAATGTATATAATCTTCAGTCACAAATTTACCAGTGTTGGCCTCCACTAACAGCACCCCTTCCCCAGGGTTTATGGGAAAGGCAATATATTGATATATGGGGTCCCCTTAACCTACTGAAGAAGCTATTCAGATTAACAAAACGATTCAAACCAAAAAGAAGCCTAATTGTCATGACTTAACTTTCAGACTATAGGAAAAGCTGGGTTTTTTTACCATCTTTCAAAGGCCAACAGAATTGAGGTCCATCTGGATCTGGGGGAGAAGGGAAGAATGGGGGAGGCTAAATTACACATTTTAAAAAAAGTTCTAAGTTGAACAGCATTAGCGTTAAAAAAAAACACTAAAAGTTTTCCCAGAATGCAAGTACAAAAGGCCTAGGACCTAGGTTCTTCTGGAAATAAGCAGACATTTTGCAATTCTTTTATCATTGTTCTGGGTGTGTGCCACAATGAAGACAGATAAATGTTGTGAGTTGTGATGTAGCAGAGCTGATTCCTTTTCATTCTGATTACTTCCATCAATGTTTGATATGACAGAGGATAATTTACCAACCTGGACTGCACATTGTGCTAAGCCATGTTTTGCAACCCAACCTTCAAATAATACACTAAATCTAAGCCAAGCAAACCAAGTTATGTCATAATGCTATGTGAATTAACCTTGGAAGCAATTCTTTCAGTCTCAAATTTATGACACAGCCCTTAGAATTTTGTTTAAGGAATTTAAATGAGAGTATGGATTATTTTCAGCAGGTACTTTGACGAACTACCATGACTCAGGAAAGTTCCATACTGTAGTCATTAGTTTGCTACTGTTTTGAGAGATGTGGACTCATCACAACACCTGATATGTTGCTTTTCCTGTGACTCAGCCTGTCACAAACAGCTGCTTTATAACTTCATATATTGGGAGGTAGATGAATATGTTTGTAGACCAAAGTATTCGTTAAAAGGACAAGACAGTACAGTGAAAATGAAAAAAAAAAATCTCTTGCCTTTTTACTTCTATTTGGCTAATAAGAAAAATGTTCAAACTATTTTTTTAATGATCTAATGTGCCCCCCTTAGGTTTTCTAGTGTAATGGCTAATTCCACCCTGAAAATTGAAATATTGTACTGAATTTAAGATAGGGAAGCAAAGGGATGTCAAACTGGATTTCTTCAAGGATCGGATCAGATTTGTAATTCTCCTCTGCAGGCCAGCAGGGGAGGGGAGATGGGATGGATGCCTCCTGCAGCACTCTGCCCGCCAAAACATTTTGGCAGGTCCTTTGATATTTCCAGACCAGCCCCACAGGCCGGATTTAAGCACCCCATGGGCCAGATACCGCAGTTTTGATGACACCCTTAGTATAGATTAACTGTATATTGTTGTTTAATCATTATATGCTTTGCTTATGTCTGTACCTCCACCCATACTACCTCTAACCTCCTTACTGGAGAATAAAATGTATATAGGTAAGCAATGAACATTCTTTAACACTAGGATCTTTCTGCTCTGTTCCATGAAATCTCAAGACTTCTATGATATATCAAAAATAAGTTCACTTAAGCACATCCAATTTTTTACTAGAGCTTTGCTTCACAATCAGGCGTTCCAATATTTTAACTGATAGGTTCCACTGCCTGAAAAAGTTTGAAAACTTGATAACAAACAGAAAAGGTTTAGCTCAATTTTGATTAACCTGTTTTGCCACTCAATTACAGACTGGATTTAATCAAATCAGAAGATGATTAAACAAGGGACAATAAGTGCTCAAGTTAATATTCACTGAACCTCTTAATCAAGGTCTGCAAAAACTAAACAGGGAAGAAGTGATCCAGATGTTCTGGATCAATCTGTTCCACAGAAGGGAAGTTATCGATCATGGAATCCTTGCATATGAAAACCTCAAAACGTTTTCACTGCCATAACTTATTAGATGAGGAGATTTATTTTAAAGCAAGGGACTTGGAAGATATTTAGGCCCAAAGCAAGGAGGATTTAAAAGGTGATATAACATTGAACCGCAACCAATGTGGTTCCTGGACCAGATTTAAATGATGCACAATCTTCAAGGGCAGCCCATGTAGCCTCACCATTACCTTTGGGACCAGCAAAAGCATTCCAAGATATCTCCCAGTATCATTTCTGATTAAATGGTTGTCCAAGTTTTAAGCTCCCTGGATATTTTGGTCTTGGTATGCCCATGCTGACTTTCATCTTGGCCCACACCTTAAATCACGAGTTAATAATCCTTCCCTAAATGCAGAGCAGCCTTGGTTGACAGGCATACAAAGAATCCTTGAGAAAATAGTGGTGGTTTGTTTTAACTGCTAACATCGGACCCAGTGTTCTAAATAAAGGATAAAGGACAAGCAATACTACTCCCCCTTAAAATTTTTACATAGAACTTGCAAAGGGTAAAAGTCATGACGACATGAATCACAGTAGTAATCCATGATTAAATGAACCATGATTTGCTATTTCATGTGGCAAAGCATGGTTTGCCTGGCTAAATCTGATTTAATACTATTAAATGGTTTACTGAACAAGCATTGACTCATACAATGTGCGTCCCTCGATTCATGATAGCTCTGCAGACACATCCATTTAGTTTTCTTAGCAACAAATTGAAGTAACTGCCTTCTACAATGTCTCCCCACCCCCACCCACCCCCCAATTTTGTAGGCTGCTTTGGTAGTTTCTGCTCACCGGGCCAACAGTTTCCATGCCTACACAAAGTCAACCACATTCATGTCATTGTGCAAAACCTGCCAACATTTAAATTATTAAATATGCACCAGTCGAAAGACATTCACATGTTTCAATGCATTTATTAAATTCTTACAAAACAGAATACAAAAAATTCTGGCATCAACAAGGTGTTACAAAGGAAAAAGTTCCATCAAGCTGAATCAGTTCACCTGGTACATAATAAAGTGCTTTGTTTTTTTTTAAGATTTTATTTTTTTTAAATTTGTCATTTTCAAACCAGTCCCTTGCTGAAGGACTCTTGCATCTATAGTCCCCAGTGGTGCATTAAGGTGACTTTATGTCAGAAAACAAAACCTTTGGCAGTCTTTTATGGTAATCAGAGGAAAATATTTCTCCTGAACTGATTTTTCTCATAAAAGAAAAAAAAAAGAAACCAACTTCACAGTAAAATGCTAAATAACCAGTTCTAAATAGAGTTAAATTGAGGAGAGGAGGGCATTAAGTCAAAGATGCAGCAAGACGTTCTCCTGTCCTCATATATGCAGCTAATTAAAACTCGTGGAGGTACAAAACAAGATGCTTTCCAATAAACATTTTTTACAAAGAAAAATACTGAAGGGGTGTGGGATACAGAAGTTTGAAAGTAAGAATTTTGGCAAGAACAGAATAATCTGTGCACAACTAATTGGAAAGTAACACAATGCAGACTATAAATATATGGAAAGCAATCTTGAGAGAAAATAGATGGTTGAGATGTCAAGGGAGCATGTTGGAGGCATTCCTGTGTCTGTCCAGAGACACAAGTCCATTTCTTCATGAGAACTAGTGACTTTAAACACAGTTTAAACTCTTTGGGCTTCCAAATCTAGGGAACTGTGCAGAACAGGACAGTGTTTTAAGGCTCTCCAGTGGAGAGAAGCTATATGCCCATTTCACAGAATTCCTGGGGGTTAATTCAAATGAGCTCGGGCAGTTTAAATACCTCCAAGCACTCTCATCTCTCCCATCCCTCTTATTCCAACTGAATTAAGAAGCAAGAAATCTAAGCACCACCAATTTTGGTCTCACACACACAAAAAGGAAAACAGGGAAGGAGAGGAAGGAAAATCAAGGGGGGAAAAAGGAGTCTAGGCTGCTTTTTCCAACCCCGTAGCCTCCAGATATGCAGAGACTGCAGGTTTCAGAATCCAAACCACCACAAGTCAAATTCCTCTGGGTGAGCTATGGAAATAGACAACGCAAGCCTTAAAAACTGCTCATGTGTAAAAGTTTCATCTGTGTCCAGGGTTGAAATTCGGAACAAGAAACCGAATCAAAAAGATATATATTGTCAAAGGCATAAATACTACAAATGATAATTCTGTTTTCAAACCCCATGGAAAAAGACAGAGTACTTGAGGCTCAAGTCACCTTGTTTTCTATGGTGTTAACTAAGTCCCTCTGTATTAAAGTGGGTTCTACTTTTTTCCCACCACCTCCATCTTGAAGTTATCAGAGAAAACCCAACACTGAAAACAGCCACTTCTAGCTTAGCTGCTTCTTTCCCACTGGATTTGGGAAAGAACGCACCTCAAATGCCAAATTCCTAGTCTTCCGAACCCATTTCCCAATCCAATCACCCAAGTGATGAAATTTCAGCAGGAGCTATTTCATCAAGTGCAGAAAAGCCACTCATGTTTTACAGTTATCTCCCTCCAGGATGGAATTTGGATGCACTTAAAATATTTCATTCAAAACCTGAACAGTCGATGCACCTTCATCTTACAAAAAATCAACCCCAAACCAAGATGGAATTCCACATTGCAAAGGAAACAAGTTTAAGGCAAGTTATGTTATTTTGACAGAAGCCTTAAAAAAAAAAAAAACATCCCAGTGCCAACAAACCACAACCACCCATTTCAATGGGCATAGAAAACATCATCCTTTCGTAACAGATAAAGATAGGGCAGAGTTCACTTTTGGATACATACACTTGACTCCTTTCACTCAAGATTATTCAGATCAGATACACCATCCCAGAGTAAGATATGATCTTAGCAATGTTTTTATGAGATTGCTTCACTTCACCCAGCCGCCCAAGACTATTTGTTTGCTTTAAAAATCTCACCAATTAAAAAGCATGCTTTCCCAAGGGTCACAACTCTGACCCACTGCTCTTGTAAGTACTAAAAAAAATGTGCAACCCTGCAGAGAAGGGCTAGATGTATATTAAGATGACCCACACACAGGAGATACAAAAGCTATTATATGGCGATCTACATGATTTTATTTTGTAACTGTGCACAAGTCTGTCACACAATTCCAAACACCTTATAAATTATCTAGGATGGTTGTTTTATTTTTCTCTTAAACATCAGGCACGAATGAGAGTCAGAAAAAGGAATATGAGCAATCCTTCACGTGTTGACACAATAATCCTGAGAAGTATCCTTGTTTAAAAAAGATTGATGCACGGCACACGTTTCAACTAAGAATGCTGGTTTGAAAGTCAATGTCCATAGTTCCCAACCTATCAGCATACCCGGGGCATCACCCATTTTGGCCCTTTAAGAATAAAACAGAGGGAAGTAGAAGGAAAGTGTTCCTTCTCCCAAAGTAGTATCCCAAATGGTTGGGGAGGAGGACATTTTAGACTATTGTTTTTCAGATGACCCTGCCACACACACTGGCCCTATGCGCAAAGGTTTAGAGTTGTTGCAGACCAAGCTAAAATATTCAACTAAATACAGGTACCATGTCACTTCTGGGGAATGGATGCTCTTGAGGGAAAGCAAAATCAGTGTATAAATATATTCATAACTTTTGATAAATTGTTCTTAAAGCTGTCTTTCTTTTGAAGGATAGACACAGCATAAACAACAAAAAAGCAAGAACAAAGCAAATTATATCCCATCAAGCAACTTAAAACCATCTGAATGAGAGCATCCACACTGGAAGCTGCTTCTAATGCTGAAAGGATTAAATATCAGGCAATTTAGAAGCCATATGCTACAGCTTTCTTGAGCAAAAAAGGGCCTGAACCCACCGTTTGTTCAAGTAATTTCTGGCCACAAGATTAAGATGGTGACAAAATCCATACCCATGTAGAATTTTGCTCTGAATCGTACGATAAAAATGTTCTCTGATTTAAAAATAATTTCTCCAATTACGTAGCCTGCTCAGCTAACCAGTGTATTCTGCACCTCATTATTTCAGATGGTGCCCTCTTCCTACCCATTCCTTAATGAAAGCGCATCTGTTGGAAAAGACTGCAAGGTTAGAACAAGCAAACCATAATACTAAAGGGAGATCCCATCTGCTTTTTTTTACCCTCTGTCAAGAAAGCAGAGAAAAATATCAAAAAGTAGAAAAGAAAGGAGGTGATGAGTTATTTTACAAGCCTCCACACTTATTAAAAAAAAACTGCATCTGAAAAGAAAAATTACTCTCTCAGCAAAACGATTCAAACTTCTTTGCATAGTATTGTTACTTAAAGTCTTTATTCAGAGACAAGCATCGTTCTTAGATCAGATATGCCCACACGTGCACATCTGGATAGCAGCTGAAGTCACCAGCAGATGTTTTGCTACAACCACTCAAGATCTGAGTTTATACACATGGCTGTTCAACCAATTCTACCAAAGTCCTGGAGAGGATCTACCTTATCACTGGATTAAAAATAAATAAATCCCAAGGCTTAGAAAGAAGATCCAATAGGCCAAACTGACCTTTAAGCAAAACTCTCTCTTGCCATGCACAGCAAACCACGCTAAGTTTCAAAACCACTTCCCTAGCTAGATTTCAACAACAACTTTCACCTCCAATGTGAAACTAGCTGGTTTATCCTCCCCTTCGGTCCTCTGAAGGAAGTCTAACAGATTCAGTAAGCTTTCCCATCCATACTTTTACACTTAGAAAGGCAGTCCTTCAGCCATCAACCCGTCCTACACATACTTGGATAAGCAAATCCAACAGAATTCAGTAAATGTTGCTCCCAAGTCAGAATGCATAGGGCTGCTTGCCCTGTAGCTTATGCATAAAGGAAGGTAGGCAGAAATACTACGGTACTAGATTTGAGCATGGCAGAAGTATCTGCCCGCCCACAGCCTGGTCACAACTGCCACCATTATCAAGGCACCACACACACACATTCAAGAATATTTTCCAATCCACATCATGATGCAATACTGATTTATGTACAAATGTTTTCATGCCTGGATGTGTGTGTAGTCTTTTCGAGAAATTTTGAAAGCAGGACTTGGAGCGGTTTGTCTCAGAGCAATGGAGGGAGGGGGGGATTAAGTCTCCCACAGTGAACACAAACAGCCAATAGTCTAAATTTCCAGATGTGCCTGGAAAGCACCATCACGTTTCATTATATTCCAGCCTTTAAGATATAAATGTCTAACTCTGGGCAACTCTTAAGAGTTTGTGGACTTCAACTTCCAGAATTCCCTAGCCAGACATGCTATCTGGGGAATTCTGGGAGTCCATAGGGTCTTAAAAGTTGCCAAGATTTCAAGAGGCAGATGGTATGCCTCTTCCCCCCTTTCAACTCTTGGCCTAAAAAATATCCTCAGAGGCACCTCATTCAACATGACCGATCCATGGTGAATAGGATATTGACACTCAACCATGGGCTGACCAAACATTGAGGACAGTCTCAAAGCAAAGATTAGTATCAGGATTGAAGGAGACCTACAGAAATGCTCTCAGGTTGGCCCACTCCTCTAGACTAAGCATCAACAGGCAGCAACTGAGCAACATCCATCATCCAATAGCTTGGACCTGCCATTTAATTTCCCAGAATGCTCCTGAACCTTGTGGCCTCACAATGCAGGCAATTCCCAGAATGCTTAGATGCTAGACACTGGAATACAATAGAGGACTGGAGAAAATGATGAAGGTCAAACAGCAGCACCTCAAACTATTGGCAGTTGTCTGGCAATCCTCAATTTGATGCTTACATTCTGGCCAGAAAGGGCGATGAGAAGAGGTGGACACTGAAGAGGACCACAAACCAAATACTGTTTTTGTCCCTCTTCCGAGAATCTTCTACCAGAATTTCACCCCAATATGCTACTTGCTCACAGCTTCAATTTCATGCATTGAAACCTTTTTTTTTTAAATTACCCAATCTTCCAATTCCTTCTCTGTATGACACACCACATACATCCAAGTGTTTCTTTTCCTTCCTTCCAAAAAGCAAGCTTTTGGCCATTTTAGCACATCTGAATGCACCATCCTGAGTTTGATTTATAGTTCTACACCTGCTCCCCCCCAGATTCACATGCTTACAACAGGTCTAGCTTTAAACTAGATTTGTTGTTGTTTTCTCACACAAAATCCACAATTATAGGAATTGTAGTTCTTTAGATTGGGGGAAGGGGAGGCTTAGAGGTTCTCCAAATTAATTAGTCACGTTGGAAGCAACCATCCCTGAGGAATTCTATTTATATTGGTTCAGAATAAGTAGAACCAAAGCTTAAAGGCTCCAAAGACTGGGAAATGTTTTGAAATAATTCCCTCAAGCCATAGTCTGCCTTTAGGATGGGGAGATCAAACAATGCGTCACCTTGGTTTAAAACAAATAAAAAAAAAAACCAGTCAGCAAAAGTTGTAAAGGATTGCCAAAAATTATTCTGCCACGATAAGAATTTAATCTATGAGGGCATCCTACATTTGCAATCTCTGAAGCAATTGTACATATCTCTATGAGTATTTTTGTAAAGAGTTTTACAGCCCTGCAGAGGATGGTTTAATTAACATTGACTACCTTCTTTTCAGATTAAGCCTCACTTTTTTTCCCCGCTAATAGCTTATACTTCAATGTTTCCCAACCTTGGCAGTTTTAAGACATGTGGACTTAAACTCCCAGAATTCCCCAACCAGCCATGTTGACAGGGGAATTCTGGGAGTTGGAAGTCCATACCTCTTCAAGTGGCCAAGGTTGAGAAACACTGGCTTACTCTATGGAAGGTAGTAAAATCTTTCCTTTCTACTAGAACTTTTTTCACCTTTATTTCTCTGCATCAAACAGGAGGGGAAAAACCATAAGGGATTAGATTCCACTATGGTAGGTCCTAAAACATGCATCCCTTCTGCTCTTAAAAAAATATTGGACCCCTCCCATGTCAACAGGACATATCTGGATTGAAACAAAATAGAGTTCTTGTGTTAACATCCACAGCTTGGCCCCTTGAGAAGAAAAAAAAAAAGAACAAACAAAATACAAAATAAGTGCTGTGAACGGTGCCAGGGGGTAGGGAGAAGGAATTTCTCCCTATATGTATGGGTTTCCTCTTCCCAACTCCCCCTTCTGTTTATATCCCAGATACAACTACTTTCAGCTTACAGAATCTACACAGTTTTAGGGAAGACACTGCAATTTTCCCTAAATTTTCCCCATAAATGAACATTCATACAATTCATGGACTGTAATTGTTTCCCCTCCTCCCCCTTAAGTCACTCCAGTGCTTTTGGGAAAAAGAAAAAAAAAAGACAAGATAAATCCTCATCCCACCCACCCTCAAACCATATACAGAATCCAAGTAGTTATGTTTGTTTGTTTGTTTTTTTAAAAAGAAACCAATAGCAAGAACAAAATTAAAATAAATGTAAAAAAAAAAAAAAGCAAACACTCTCCAAACATAAAAAATGCTACGTTTAAAAGTTCAGGCTTGGGGTGGGACAGACCAGGGAAAGGTTTTCTCCCTCCCCTCTTTTCACAGTACAAGAAGCTGAGAGAAGGAAAAACAAAAAAAGGAAGAGAAACCCTGCACCCCCCCCAGATAAGGTATCCTTCAGTGGGGAGGAAGGGACTTTTTTTTTTAACTTTTTAAGCAAAAATTACGTGTGTATCAAAATGCACTGGGAAGACGGGGAAACAAGGGAAGGGAAGAACAGAATTTAAATAGCTTAAAAGAGAGGGGGAGAGAGAGAGAGAGAGAGAGAGAGAGAGAGAGAGAGAGAGAGAGAGAGAGAGAGAGAGAGAGAGAGAGAGAGAAAACCAAAAAGGAACAAGAAACAAAACAGCCCCTGTAGAACAAGATCAAAGACAGAAAAGAATCCTTGGAAACCAGCCAACTTGATCTTGATCTTTTGTTAAGCTACTCAAGCAGACCTTTTTTTTGTCCGAAATGACACAAAGGGGTGAGGGAGGTGAGGGGGAGAATGGAAGAATGGACGTATAGAACGAAAGGCAGTCACATGTGATCCCCAACCAAGACCAAGGGGGCCACCAGGTGCTGGGCGGGGTTCGCTTTAGCCATGCTTGTCTTCTGTCTTCGTTTGGCCAGCTTGGATTCGGAAGGAGGAGAGAGGTGCATAGAGCATGAGGTAGCTTTGATGATGATGGGGTGAGTCTCCTCCGCAGCTTCCTCCTCGTGCTGCATTAACTGACGGTTGACAGCAATGGCTTCGGCGGCAAACGAGGTCAACTCTTTGGCACTGCTGTTCCTACCAAGGGCAACGACAAGAAAGCCAATTACGACCATCCGGACCTCGTTCCCGCAACTCAGTGGATTAAAAAAGGGTGGGTGCAGAGGAAGAATTTTGGACCTGGCATTGACAGTTAATCCTCGATTTAACCACAGTTTATTTAGTGACCATTTGAAGTTACCACGGCACTGGGAAAAAAAAATGACTTATGACCGTTTTCCAAACTTACAACTGTTGCAAGCATCTTCCTGGTCACATGATCAAAATTCAGAAAATGGGCAACTGACCCATATTTATGATGGTTGCGGTGTCCTGGGGTCATGGGATCCCCTTTTGCGACCTTCTGACAAGCAAAGTCAGTGGGGAATCTGGATTCGCTTAACTGACTAGCAATAGCACTTAGACTTATATACCGCGTTACAGCCCTCTCTAAGCAGTTTACAGAGTCAGCCTCTTGCCCCAAACAATCTGGGTCCTCATTTTACCCACTTCGGAAGGATGGAAGGCTGAGCCTGGTGAGAATCAAACTGCCAAATTGCAGGGAGTCAGCAGGCAGCAGAAGTAGCCTGCAGTACTGCACTCTAACCACTTGCACCACCTCTTAATAACTGCAGTGATTCACTTAACAACTGTGGCTGGAAGGGTTGTGAAATGGGGCAAAATTCACTTAATTACTGTCTCACTTAGCAACAGAAATGTTGGATTCAACTGTGGTCATAAAGTCAAGGACTGCCTGTAACTTTGTTTTGCAGATTTACTCCTGAGAGCTCTGTGGGAGGGACTGCACTGGAATCGGAATTTGGGCTAAATTATTTGTTGCTTAACTGGGTACAAGTTTCAGATGCTCAACTCTGCTCTTGCCTGGCCTGGGGTCTAGCACATCATGTTGACTTCCAGAAGGCCACAAACACCTGACTTTTCTCTTAGGTATTAAGGCTGGGTTGTTAGCAAAGCAAAACATATGTGTGTTTGCAATTGTGACCCATTTTGCTCAACTCTTCTATTTATTTCATTTGCTGTTAAATGTATTCTGAATTTTGTTTTAGTGTGGTTTTGTATTGTTAGCCATCCAGTTATTTGCTTAAAGGGGGGAAGTCATAACAATTCTCTAAACATGTGAATTCACTGAAGGAAGTCTGTGACAACAGCAAAACTGCCTACATTTTCTGGCGTGCCTTTCCATTTTTCATTGGTATGCCCTACCACCTATTATTAATCTGAAAGTTCTACACACCTTAAAATTACCATGGAAATAGTGGTAATTATACACATGTTATACTGGTTTATGACCGAAAGGCTGATAATGCAGTCAAGATTAGAAAGCTGTTGCTTTCCATGTATGCAGTTTCTGAATAAAAACAAATTCCCAAGCGACAAGAAACCTCATATGTGGCTATAATTCTCTACAGAAACCAAGGAAGATTTGAGGTATACCCCAACATTCTTATTTATTAAAAGTATTTCTGAAATGCTTCACTCACCTTTGTAGGATGATTGGAGTGGGGAGCGTGTTATCAGGAGCACACTAGAAGCAAAACAAAAACAAAAAAACAAAAGTTGTCACCATAATAACCATCTAAGACTGCTTACAACTCCTTGCAGACCTGGTGCCCTTTTAAGTTACACCTTCTCTGCATTTTTCCATGACAAAATTAAAGTTCCATTTAAATGAGCACAATGGAGATACGTCAACCCTATTCAAACGTAGGTAGCTAACTATTTCTAAATAAATAAATACTGGAGGGGCTGCCTTGTTCACTACTGCAGGTACATGCTGGACACAGACAGAAATTCACTTTACAAAAAAGGAGCCCATATCTGGGAGGAATTGTTCCTCCACCGTGACAGCTTCTAAAATATGTGGATTTCAACCAGTGGTGCTTTTCTACCGGTTCAGCCCGGTTCTGACGAACATCAGCCGAGACCTAATTGGTTCTCTCTGAGGAGCTGCTGTTGGGCTCCCTAGCCGGGCTCCCACACTGACCTGCGGCACAGTAGATTGCTGCACCTCAGCTGCTGAAGTGACAGGCAGAGTACAGGATTGCAGGAGGTGAGTAGGAAAGCCTCTGCACCAGCGCAAAGTGCGCCCACCAAGCCACGCCCACCGAACTGGTGGTAACCTACTTTGAAACCCACTGATTTCAACTTATGGCTATCTGGGGAATTCTGGGAATTGAAGTCCACATACCTCAAAGTTGCCAGGGTTGAAAAACACTACTGAAAGTTTAAGTTTTACTTCAATCAAGCCTGATGACTAGAGATTTCATGGATATATATCCACACCGGGTTTTTGGCTACAATAAGTGCCACGCCTTCTTCCTATTTTTTAAAACTTTGGAGCCTTAACTTACATTGACACTGAATATTCTTGCTTGTGAGCATGCAGCAGGGAGGTTAGCACCCCGAAAGCTCTCCCCTTCCCTTTTAATTAAATTCTGAATTTTAATTATTCTTGCCTCCATTTTAAATTTTTATATTTAGTTTTTACTTTTTTAATGTTTTATTTATACACTGCCTAGAGCAGGGGTCTCCAAACTTGGCAACTTTAAGACTTGTGGACTTCCAACTCCTAGAATGAGAGCTATGCTGACTGGAGAATTCTGGGAGTTGAAGTCCACAAGTCTTAAAGTTGCCAAGGTTGGAGACCTCTGGCCTGGAGAGTCTCTGTGAGGGGGATGGTGGTTTCTAAAGCAGACAGACAGACTGAGATAGACAGATATAGATGATAGAAATATAGAGATAAAGAAAAATAGAGATATAGAAATTAATAGAAATAGATAAATGAAAGATACAGAGTTGTATAAACAGATATAAAAATAGATAGGAGAGGGAGGGAGGGAGGGAGGGAGAAGATGGAGATAGGTAGAGAGAGAGATGGAGGGAGGGAGAGAAAGAGAGAGGTGATAGAGATAGTCTGCCATACGAATAATCCTTCGCCCCAGGTAAGCAGAAAGGCAAAAAAAAAAAATGATCACATGTCCATCTTTTGTCCATTTCACTCAAGGATGCTCACCCCTTGTACCCAAGGATGCTTGAGGACTTCGCCCGCGCTCAGACGCTTTTTGGCATCTCTTACAAGAAGCTTTGAAATGAGGTCTTTAGCTTCAAAAGAGATGTGAGCCCAGTCCTTATCCGGGAATTCGTACTTCCCCTCCTGGATGCTTTCAAACAGCATATTCTGTGAGGAAAGAAAGCTATGTTACGAAAAGAAGCCAGCACATCTAAAAAAAAAAAAACAAGTTTAAAAAACCACGTACAAGGACCCAATGATGACATTTCTAAAAAAAAAAAAGCGGGGGGGGGGGGGGGGAAGAAGCCAATGGAAGTTTTTGGGACTTTTGCACGGCTGGCAAACAGGAAGTGCCACCTGGGTATGATCACCTGGCAAGCGGGACAGGCTTCACCACGGTCCCAGCCGCAGTCGGTCCCACAGTGACCCACAAAAGGGGGGTAACCGCTCAACATGATGTACAGAATGACTCCCAAGCTCCATAAATCGCAGCGCTTGTCGTAGATGGACGCTTCTTCACTGAAGGCCTCCACCACTTCTGGAGCCATATATTCTGCTGAACCGCACTGGGGAAAGAGAACAAAATTCGTTAACAGCCACCCGTTTATAGAGGCGGACTCAGATGCGGTTATTTGTGCGTGTACTTTAGACGCACAGGTTTTGTCTCCAGTTAAAACTACAGTATGGCTGGCTGAGGAATTCTGCAAGTTGAAGTCCACAAGTCATAAAGTTCCACTTTTGGACAACCCCCCGGTGAGGGAAGTCGGTAAGAACCCTCCCTCACTTATTTCCAAAGACTATAGCTACAGTTTCAGTCAAGATAGCCATTTCTCCTTTCCAGTAACACAGCCACCCCTACCTATACGTCTCAAAATCTCAGGAAAAATCTGAGCCCTCAACATGGAAGCCCGAAAAGATCAGAGTACCAAGTTCAAATTTCCTGCAAGCAAATGCATTCTTCTCCCCAAGATCTGCTAAAGCACTGAAAAGTTACTAGCTGGATTCATATGGTATGTTTATCCTACGACCCAGCTTAACCAATTAAAATGGCTATTTTTAGCCAAAATCCTGTGCTACACACAGAGTCTGGTTCACTTACTATGCAATGTGCACTGCTGAGATCTATAATGAAGTAAACTGCGAACTATCCAACCTCATTTTAATGTAAGCAAGTGTTTTATGATGAAAACCATCCAGGCCATTTTCAATGCAGAGAATTGAATACAAATTCAAATACAGGTCTTTCACATATATCTTTTTTTTTTTAATCGGCAAGCCCAGCTGCAAATTCTCAAATGATCACCAAGATTCTTCCTTGTCCCAAGCCAGCATTTCCAAAAATATTATTAGTAATCTATAAATTTACCTTATTCTAAGCCAGGGGCCCCCAAATTTGGCAACTTTAAGACTTGTGGACTTCAACTCCCAGAATTTTGGGAGTTCAAGTCCACAAGTCTTAAAGTTGCCAAGTTTGGGGACCTCTGTTCTAAGTTATCAATATTAGCATACTGTACAGAGAACAAGTCACAGATCCTTTTAGCTTTCATACTAGAGACACACACAGATAATACTTATTTTGTACAGGTAGTCCTGTATTGACAACAGTTCATTTAGTGACCATTCAAAGTTACAACATTGGTAAAAGTGACTGTATGACTGTTTTTCAAGCTTTCATACTGTTGCAGTATCCCTAGAGTGATGTGATCAAAATTTGATGCTTGGCAACTGACTCATATTTATGACAATTGCAATGTCCTGAGAGTCACGTGATCACTTTCAGAGATCGTCTGACAACCGAAGTCAATGGGGAAACCAGATTCACTTAACAACCATGTTACTAACTTAATAATTGCAGTGATTCATTTAACAACTGTGGCAAGAAAGATAGTAAAATGGGGGCAACATTCACTTAACTAATGTTTCACTTAGCAACAGAAATACTGGTCTCCATTGTGGTTATTAAGTCAAGGACTACCTGTAATGGGTTTCGTGGTGCTCTCTAAGCAATTTTGTTCCATCAACTCCAAAAACAAAGGCAGGCGCATTGCAACATTGGTAATGTTCCAAATATGATTGGATGCCATTTTCCCAGACCCAACTCATAATTGGTGGTTATGCAAAAATTCGGCCCCTTGCCTCATCTTAGATCCTAGAACAAGCAAGAATTCTCATGGAAACTAAATTCTGTTCATTATCAGTTACTCTGGCTTTCTAATCAACTTAACAATGTTTTGGCCAAGTTTGTTAAAGGATTGGAATGGGCCTTTGGGAGAGCACATAAAGAAAAAATTAAAAAATATGAGTTTTTCAGCTGCTCCCTATACCAATGCTAGATGCATCACTCCAATTGCTGTGAGTCTTTGTTTATTCTTCAGAGTGGTGTGACTGGGACAGCTCAGGGCTGCGCTAAACCTTGATCTAGGCCGCAGAAGGAAGATCCAAGAACACATGTGATCCCCAAAGGCATTGCATCACCTCCCAAAGGACTCCAAAAGTTGCCAACAAATTCTAGCTTGGAAGACGGCACATGGGGAAAATGGTTAAATATATAATTGGAGAGTAATCATCTCTGCTTCTAATTTGAGGCATGAAAGAAATGCAGTCAAAGCTAGTTTTGAAGCCTCGTTCTACCAATCCTCTTGGGAGAATGTGGCTTTGACCTCACAGTTCAATGTCTAATTTCACCCCACAAATTTGCACTCCCTGTGGCCAAGATGATGGTGAAGAATAAATACAAGTCGTCCTCAACTTACGACCAGAACCGAGCCCAAAATATCTGTTGCTAAGTGAGTCATTTGTTAAGTGAGTTCTGCCACATTTTACAACCTTTCTTGCCACAGATGTTAAGTGAATCACCGTAGTTAAGTTAGTAACGTGGTTGTTAAGTGAATCTGGCTTCCCCCTTGATTCTGCTTGTCCGAAGGTCGCAAAAGGGGATCACATGACCCTGGGACACAGAAACCGTCATAAATATGAGTCAGTTGTCAAGTGTCTGAATTTTGACCATGAGCATGGGGATGCTGCAATGGTCATAAGTGTGAAAATTGGGCATAAATCACTTTTTTCAGTGCCCTTGTGACTGTGAACGGTCACTGAATGAACTACTCTAAGTCAAGGACCACCTGTAGTCTTAAAAGAGTTACAAACCAAAGGACTTGTCATAGAGCAGGATGTCAAACTCAATTTCACTGAGGGCCACATCAGGGTTGTATTTGACCTCGGAGGGCTGGGGGACGGGGCGTGGCTGGGGGGGCGTGGCTCACTCAGCATCACTCCTGTCGGGGACACCTGTGGTAGCCAAGTACTAAGCCAGGACTTCCCTGAAACCCTCCCTCACTCTCATTATAATTTCCTTCCTTCCTTTCTCTTTCCTTCTCTCTTCATTCTTTCTTCTTTCCCCTCTTTCCTTATTTTTCCTTCCTTCCTCTTTTCTCAACCTTCCTTCTTTTTCTTTGTCTTTCCTCTTTCCCTTTCTCCTTTCCTGCCCCTTTTTGCATGCTCAAATGCAAAAGGGGAAACATTTTTCCGTTTGTTTTGTTTTTAGTTTGTTTTGCTAGCCCTCTGCCAATGAAAATGGAGCTTCTGGGCTCCATTTTGGCTGGCAGAGGCACCGTGGGAGAGACCTTTGCAGGCCAGATCAAAGCACCCTGTGGGCTGGATCCGGCCCAAATTTGACACCCCTGCCATAAAGAGTTCCATGTATCACACATGTTAACTTTCCATTAAAAAGAGGGGAGAAAGGTTGGGATAGAGAATCAGCACAAATAGTCCTTCACATAAAACTATTTTAGAGTATCTGTGGAGATTCTCAGTCATCCAGGTCATAGTTGTCTCAGAGGTGTTTTTTCAAAAGGCAACTGGACTGTTTTTCCTTGTGGAAGAAGCAAAAGATTTTTTTTTTTCTGCAACAGTCCCTGAAAAACTGTTTCTAAAGTCCCGAAGGACTGTTTTTTTCCTCAAGGAGAAAAAAAACAGTCCAGTTGCCTTTTGAAAAAGCACCTCTGAGACATTTGTTTAGAGAATGAAATTAATGATAACATTAAAAAAATGTTAACTTACAACTGCTCAGTGCACTTATGATCCTTGTAGCATCCCCTCAGTCAAGTGATCAAAATTCAGATGCTTAGCAACCAGCATGTATTTATGATGCTTGTAGCACATCCCAGGGTTGTGCGATTATCATTTGCAACCTTCCCAATAAACTTATGTCAAGCAAAGTCAGTGAGGGATGTTGGATTCAGGTAAAAACTATGATTCATTTAACAACCACAGGGTTGTGCTTAACAACCCTGGGAAAATATTTCTACCAGATTGAGATTCTCAGTCATCCAGGTCATAGTTGTCTCAATGTTGCTTTTTCAAAAAAAAGGCAACTAGAATTTCTTCGTGTGTTTTTTTTCCCTTGAAAATGTTTCACTTTTTATCCAAGAAACTGAAAAATTAATCCAAGAACTGAAGAAGCTTCTTGCATGAGAAGTTAAACATCTTCAAGAAAAAAAAACAATAAAGGCCAGTTGCCTCTTGAAAAAACGTACCTTTGGGGTATTTCTACCAGCAACAAAAATGCGAAACTGAGTGAATAGGGGATTTCCAGCCATTTTATTTCATTCTTATCTATCTCGTGTCCCTACCTGGCAATTAGCACAGGATTTTAAAAAAACCGCTAATGGCCTTTCTTGAACCCAATTTCTCAGCAGTGATCTCTGGATCACTGAAATCAGAGGTGACCTGAATCACTTTCAAAACATTAAAAGGGTTTGGGAAAGCCAATGGGAATCCCTTTAGTCAACCTTTTTAGCAACAGAATATTGGCTCAGCTAAGACTTCAGGTCACAGCCACCAAATAAATATTGCCTGGGAGAGGGGAAGAAAGCACAAAAGAACTGAAGAAACTTCTTAGATGAGAAGTGAAACGTTTTCAAGAAAAAACAAAGAAAGTCCAGATATGCGTGCCACTTCACAGGTGCCATAGGTTCACCATCACGGATATAAGGTATAAACTCTCCCTAAAGTTGGATCACTTGAGAGACCTCACAATGGAGATCTTTCATCTTTCACCGTCAACATACAGAGAGGTTCAGGGCAGACATATCCAATTTTGGCAACTTTAAGACTTCTGGACTTCAACTCACAGAATTCCCTAGCCAGCAACTGTTTCTGGGAGTTGAAGTCTGCGAGTCTTAAAATGGCCGCGGCTAGACTGCTCTGCTTTAGGCACTTCCCCGTCCATAAGGAGATTAGAAATCTATTGATTTAGATCTACCCCCTACTAAGATAGGAGAGCAAGGTAGGGCACATAATGGAGAGCAGGATACCGAGGCGTGGTTTCCTGTTCGTTTTTGTCCACGGGGAGAAGTGAAATTCCAAGAATTTGGAACTGATAAGCATTTGGGCAAGGAATTCCCGGCATATGCCTGTGGCAGAACCTTAACCTGAGAAACACAGGGGGACAGACGGCCAATTCTAGAACAAGGAAAGAAAACGCACTCTTCACGTGCCCAAAGGGATCCTTTCACACATTCCACAGCAAAGAGTCCTAACAAGTGGAGCAACAAACATTGCCCTC